GTTGTGGTTTGGGTTTGTCTTTCATTATGCACTCTATTTTTTACTGTTGGGCAGAGGAAAGAGGTCATTTAAGATTTTACTGAAAATATGGATTATTCCACAACACTAAAACCTCTGTATAGTAAGATTTGAAAATGTGAACTTTCCTAATGGAAGCTTATGTGCAGAGCTTTCACTTCATATTATATGTAGAAAACTGAATAGCGTAAAAATAAAAATGTTTCATAGTTTAATTTACAAATGTAATTTAATATCTGTTAGCAGTCCCCTTGGTATGTTATAAAAAACATTAACCATATAATGTTTGTTTTGGTTGTTAACTTTTTTTTTTTTTTTTTTTTTTTTTTTAAATTTTGAGAACAGGCCATAACTCTGGCTGTCCTGAAGTTTACTATGTAGACCAGGCTAGCCTTAAACTCACAAAGATCCGTCTGCCTCTGCCTCCTGAGTGCTGGGATTAAAGTTTTAGGCCACGGTGCCCAGTTAGTTTGTTGATAAGAACATACCCTGGAATAAATGCCTGGTATGCGATACCACACGTGTTGCTTGCCCATCCTGTCACCTGTTGTTATGCCATCTGCCGACCTCAGCTCGGTTCCTTTTCTTTACTTTTCCTTGTTTTGTTGCATTCATTCACTCACTCATTCATTCATTTGTGCTTTGTCAAACAGGATCTCACTATGTAACCTAGGCTGTGTCTAAACTCATGGTCTTTTGCCTTAGTCTCTCGAGCACTGGGGTTGCAGGCTTGGGCCACCTACCCTGACTTCATCTTTTCATACCTGCAGAAAATAAACACTATCAGTCTAGACCAAACATTCTACAAATAAGTCTTTGTATTTACATAGTATCTAGAGATTTAGTCATAAAACTGAGGACACCTGATTAAACATAGAAGAAGCACATATAAGAATTGTGTATTTTGAGAAATTACTCTCAATAGTAACCTTGTTAACTCTTGAATTTTGTGTTCAAAGCAACAAGCCCTCTAAAACACATATTCTTAATTTGAACATAACTCTGTAGCTTGCCCTAAACAGTTTCATTTGGATGTGTCAATATTAAACAATACAAATATTTGGTTATTATTATCCCTTATTTAGTTAATACTTAGAAGTAGCTGGCATGTGTCAGCAGTGTGGGGCTCTGGCCATGATCTCTTCAGTTAGCTTTTATCTTATGGGAAAGACAGATTAGCAGAAAGGTATGCTTACAATGTGTCGTGTTCTGAGGAGAAAATGAAAAGGTTGATGAGGCTGGGTAGTGGTGGCACATGCCTTTAATCCCAGCACTCAGGAGGCAGAGGCAAGCAGATATCTGAGTTGGAGGCTAGCCTGGTCTACAGAGCAAGTTCCAGCACAGCCAGGGCTACACAAAAAGAAACCTTGTCTTGAGAAAAACAAACAAACAAAATTTTGTGAGGATGTTAATTTGGCTTAAACTGGAAGAATGTTCAGAGATGAATACATTCAAGAGATATACAAGGAAAACATTCTAGAAAAGGGATCAGAAGATCAGAATATACAAAAGCCTGGGGCAAATTAAGGCAGAAGGCCTGATTTTGTTTCACAGAGCTAGATACAATGTACTAGCTTTTGAGACAGCTTAAAACAAACAGAGAATGCAGAAATCAATCAAATATTGCAGTGTTTTTCATATTTATAACCCCCATATAAGACTTGGACACAAACAAGGGAGAGAGTGACTCATTTAACCCAGAACAAGCATATGAAACATGAACAGCCTTCTAAAATGCTGGACTCCTGCCTTGGAGCCTTTACATTTTTACTGGCCATGTCTTAGTATGTGTAGATGTTATGTAAGTTTTAAAATTTTCTATAAATATTATTTGAATGTGTATAAAATATGTGGTCAAATGTGTGTAACTAGCACTGGTAACTTTTACAGAAGTATATTGGCTCCTAGTTGTGTCCTAACATTCTCTGTACATGTCAAATGAAGTACTCCATTTGTAGCCTTTGAATGCCTTGCACAAGCCAGGCTAGCTGACGCTGTAAGCACTTCCTGGATATTTCCCCTCAGACTTCAGGTAGTCAATTGTACGTCCTTATTCATTCTCAAAGATGTCAGAGAAAGGTTTTTGACCCTTCTCTAATGTAGTCCTTCCTCCTCTGCCTGCTTCTTTTTGTTTGTGGTACTATTTAGGTTTTTTATTTATTTGTTTATTGTTTTGTTTTTGTTTTTCCCAAACCTCATAAGAATAAGAATTTTGTTGTTCCTATTGTTGTTGAGGCAGAATCTCATTATCTGTCCCTCATTGACCTGGAACTTCCATGTAGAGGCCAGGCTGGCCTCAAACTGACAGAGATCCACTTGTCTGTATCTCCTGAGAGCTGAAATTAAAGGTGTGCACCCCATGCCTGGCTAAGAATAAGAGTGTTATCCCTGTTCACTGTTTTTGACTCCAATGCTTTGAAACCTCAGAAGCATTAGTAAGCACTCCAAAATGCTTGAATGTTTATTTTAAACTACACTTGCATAATTAGTCCAAGAAAAGGTACTCCATTTTACTGTGTACTGGCTTTCTAGCATGACACTTGAATAAGTCATTGAAAAAGTTAATTTTCTTCTAACATAGGTCCTGTATGAAACAGTAATGGCAGAAGAATGCAGCACTAGCCATTGGTTCCCTGTTTGCACCTTTGACTCTCTGGTCCTCGTTTTCTCCCTTTATGGGCTGGACCCTCTTGTGTTATTGCCTGATGGAACCCGCCCACATCTGCAGTTGGTCTCTGATGTTCTGGCTTGGCTCCAGCTGCCTCTAGTACTTACCACCTGATTGCCCATTGAGTTCAACACAGCATACCTCACTTCCCATTAAGTCTGCCTGATGCTCCCCCTCAGCTCATTGAGTTCCTTTTCAGTCCTTGCCCACAGCGCTGGCCACCTTGGTAAAGTCATACCTCTATACAAAGGACCACCACCTTGAACTTGAATCTAGGAAACAGTAAGGGTTAGGATTTGTGGTTTATGCTAGATTTTGTTTTTGTTTTTTTTTTTTTTAACTAGTAAATAATATATGTGTTCTCTGAATCAAGAAGAGAAGGCAGATTGTGAGACTGACAGAGTAGGAATAAATGCAGTAAGAGGAATACGTGTGATTTGAGGAGGTTTGAGACTAATGGCAGAATGCTTTGGCTTATAGCCCCAGTTCTTATGAAATAGATGAGATAAAGTCCCATGCTATTTGGACTGTGGTCTTCAAAGATGTGAATCGGTGTTTTTAGGGCTGTGTTGAAGCCATGGCAGTGCGAACAATACCCTCTCGGAGTAAAGCTGGGAACACAATTGGCTAAGGACATCCGATTACATTTCAAGTTAGAGCAGAGGGAATGAGGAATCCATGCAGTAAACAGTTGTTTCTTCTCCATGGATGGCCTTCATTCTCTGCATTGCAATAGTCACTCAAATAGAAAAGGGCATGCTGGTGATGGTGAGAAAGTGTGTCTGAAAGCTCATCCAAGCTGTGTCAACTCTGAGAGAAACAAAGCTTTATGGGATGGAGCATGAGGCAGTGTACAGAGAAAGGGAATCAGACCAGACTGAGTTCTTGGGCTTGGGGACAGAATCAGATTTGGAGTGTGGGCTTGGCTACTCCCTGTAGAAGTTAATGTCTGTGTTTAATTCTCTTGTTTCTTTAGCAGTCCATGAGGCTCTTCTTGTATTGTGTATATTCATTTGTCTTCCCAGTTGCTCTGATTTCCTTAGGGACAGAAGCTATATTTTATTTGTTCTGACTTTTTTTAAAAATCTTTTTATTACAGTTTATTCACTTTTTATTCCCCCTGTACCTTGTCCTTCCTCCCCTCCCAATTCCTCCCTCCTTCTTCCCCACCCGTGTCCCTCTCCCAGTCCACTGATAAGGGAGGTCCTCCTCCCCTTCCCTCTGATCCTAGTCTATCAGGTTTTATCAGGAGTGGCTGCATTGTCTTCTTATGTGGCCTGGTAAGGCTGCTCCCCCCTCAGGGGGAGGTGATCAAAGAGCAGGCCAATCAGTTCATGTCAGAGACATTCCCTGTCCCCATTACTATAGAGGCCACTTGGATACTGAACTGCCATAGGCTACCTCTGTGCAGGGGTTTCAGGCCATCTCCATAAGTGGTCCTTGGCTAGAGTATCAGTCTCAGAAAAGACCCCTGTGCCCAGACTTTTTGGATCTGTTGCTGTCCTTGTGGAGCTCCTGTCCTCTCCAGGTCTTATATCTCCCCCTTCTTTCATAAGATTCCCTGCACTCTACCCAAAGTTTGGCTGTGAGTCTCAGCATCTGCTTCAATACCCTGCAGGGTAGAGCCTTTCAGAGGCCCTCTGTGGTAGGCTCCTGTCCTGTTCCCTGTTTTCTCCCTCCTCCAGTGTCCATCCTCTTTGCCTTTTTGAATGGGGATTGAGCATCTTAGTCAGAGTCCTCCTTCCTGATTAGCTTCCTTAGGTGCACAGATTTTAGCATGTTTGTCCTGTATTATATGTCTAATATCCACTTATGACTGAGTATATACCCCATGTGTCTTTCTGCTTCTGGGATACCTCACTCAGGATGATCTTTTCCAGTTCTCACCATTTACCTGCAAATTTCATCATTTCCTTGTTGTTTGTTTGTTTGTTTGTTTGTTTTTATCTCTGAGTAATACTCCATTGTGTAGATGTACCACAATTTCTGTATCCATTCCTCAACTGAGGGACATCTGGGCTGTTTCCAGCTTCTGGCTATTACAAATAAAGCTGCTACAAACACAGTTGAGCAGATGTCCTCTTTAGCTTTAATACAGTATCCTGGCAGAGTAAAGATACTAAGTGTAAGCATAAAGTATACTCAGATACTAAGTCCAAAGCCTGTGCTGTGGATTTTTCATGGCAAGTTCATGAGTTAAAATGCTCTCTAAGTCTTCACAGCAACTATAAGATGGTAATCCCTTCTTTACTATTTAGCTGATCTCTATTTTTTTTTTAACTTTACAAAGTGCTAATGAGAATTCATACTGTAGGTGATTGATGAGATTTACCGTGTACTGAGATACGTCAATTCTACTAGAGCCCCTCAGCGAGCTCACGAAGTGCTGCAGGAATTGCGGGATATTTCTTCCATGGCAATGGAGTACTTTGATGAGAAGATCGTTCCAATTCTGAAGAGGAAATTGCCAGGATCAGATGTGTCTGGAAGACTCATGGGTTCTCCTCCAGGTATCTTATTTGGTTTCTTGGGGTTTCTTTTGCAGACAGCGTTTTCATGTGTATCTATAGCCCAGGCTATCCTCAGACTCCCCCTGTAGTGTATGTTGGCCTCAAACCGATAGTGAGCCTCATGCCTCAGCTTCCTGAGTACTGAGAACATGGCTTTGCACCACCACCATCGCAGCTCTCCTCTGCAGACACCTTGATTATGTCTTCAGTGTCTCATAACCATTTTTCACAATTTTGTAGCACCTTTCTTTATCTTTTCATTTAACCACGTTTTGTTAGTTTGGTGCTGAGGATGTAACCAGAGCTTTGCATATGACCTGCTGCAAAGCTACATCCCCAGCTCCCACTTCTGGGTTTTGGTGAAATTCTGCTCTCTAGATCCATTTCATGTGAACACAATGACTGACATAAAGTGGATTTTATGTTGTAGTTAACCCAAGAACCTAAAGTAAGCTGAGGTGTTCCCAGCCGGAAACGTGAATGACTAACCCTTTAAATGCTTTCCGTACAGTTCCTGGACCATCCGCAGCCTTGACAACAATGCAGCTCTTCTCCAAGCAAAACCCCTCAAGACAAGAGGTCACCAAACTGCAACAGCAGGTTAAAACCAACGGTGCTGGTGTGACTGTCCTCAGGCGTGAGATTTCTGAGCTCCGCACCAAAGTGCAAGAACAGCAGAAACAGCTTCAAGACCAAGACCAGAAACTGCTAGAGCAGACCCAGATCATAGGTGAACAGAACGCACGGCTGGCAGAGCTGGAACGGAAGCTCCGAGAGGTCATGGAAAGTGCAGTCGGAACGTCCTCAGGGTCTGGGCAGAGTGAGGAGTCTCCTCGGAAACGAAGGAAGGCAACAGAAGCCATAGACTCTCTTAGGAAATCCAAACGGCTCCGGAATAGAAAGTAAAGTGGAATGTGGCTCTGGCTCCAGAGGAAAACGTCCATGGCTGGGAGTTTAAGCAGTTCCTCCTTTCTGGATACTGGAGCAACATGGTGTCCCTTAGGCTTCCGGGCGATCAGACACAACTTACACTTGGCTCTTGTGGTTGGCATCCCTCGCGCTTCTCTGGTGGAGCTGATGCACAGAACTTTCTTACTTTGCAATAGATTTGTACTAACCAGGCCCGTTCTCTCATGTTTGGGGGACTAACCTTTCTCCTGTGCAGGTGATGTGTTAAGTTTATTTGTTTCTGCATATATGCACATTACATACGGATTTTAACAAACCCATTCTCAACAGACTAAAAGTTAAGTTTAATACATAAAATGTCCTGTTCACTTGAAAGAAAAAAATCTACTTTTTAAATGGACACTATCTTGTTTTTAAAAAAAAAGTTGACTTTTTGTTTGTTGTAAGTGACCTTTGTCTGGAATGTCTGCGAAGTGGTTCATACTTTGGTACTGAAGTGATGAGTAATGGGAAGGCCTGCAGGGTGCTGTCTGCAGAAGGGACTCTGCAGTGCCGGCTATTTTTGTAAACTACTGGCAAGGGATGTTTGCAGTCGTCACTACATGCTTTCAGTTTTCTCTGAGGCCATGTCCTACATCTGCATGGATGGTTGCATGCATTGCCTCGTCAGCGCACTTCACAGCTCTTGCCCTGGTGGCGATCTTGAACCTTTATTCTCCACAGGTTAGAGCTGCGCCCTTATTGATCTAAGCGCTTAACATCTTCCTTCTCAGCAGCTTGCCTGTAGGGGGAGAATTGTCAGTCCATTTGTCCTCCTGTTTTACAGGCACAAGAGACTGTTAAAGTCCATTGATGTATCTCTTCCTTGTAGGGTTCAGGTCCACTGGTAAGAGAACCCCAAATCCAAGGCTATTTCTATAGAAATCAGACCTCTGGGAAGTAGTCATGACCCTGACTCATCGCTGTGCTCGTGGATTAGCCATGACTGAATAGGGACCCAGCTGAAGGAAAGTTCATTGAAGAAAATTGTACCATGAGACAAGCAGGTTGATCATTTCTTTTCTGGGGATGGTCCGAGTGAAGCTTTTTACTCCCACTTTCAAGCTCTTGTTCTAACTTTGAGCAGAAGCTTTAGTCTTGTTTGCACTCCTGTTTTGAGCTTGTAACTGGAAAAGCGTGTCTTGCACTGTTCAACCTGAGTGGTCACTTTAACAACCTCCAAATTGTATAAAGTGCTTCTTTTCCCCGGTTGTATATTTTTGAAACATTGAACTATCACTGTCCTATTTTTATTTTAATGTACTAAATTATGTAGTTTTTGTTCTTTTAAAGATCTGTTGCTATGGTCTTCAGTTATTTATAGTAAATTTAGGTGTAAGATAGTAAAAACTATCCCTTCCAGGTGAAAGCTGACACCTGTGTAAAACTAAAATTTTGGTAAGTCCCATGGTGGTGGAAAACACAAGGTTGTCATCCGTCCAACATGGCATGTTATGAATCCTTTAGGTTACTTTTACCAAGTGACATTCTCCTGCCCTTTCTTAGTATTGTCCCTTCATGATCCTGCCCTTGGCGTTTGTCCAAGTCTCTGTCTGACTTTGAAAGTCCATCTACAATGTAGTGTGTTTTCAGTGAGAAACCATAACGTGGCATCCAAGTGTTTCATGGTTTGTTGGGAACGTAATTTTAAAATAAACAGTTTCCTAAAAAGATTTGTCAGCCAAGGTCATCCATAAGGTCCCTGTCTGGAACCTGTTTTCTCAGCAGGTCTCACTTTTACAATTCTAGGATGTAGCCATATCACCATAGCCTTGGAGGGGGCCTACTGAGCACTCAGAGCTTGACTTTACCAGTCTGCTGTTATGGTAGAGGAAGCCTTTTTGAAGCATCAGAGTACAGGTTTTCAAAGTGTAATAATCCTTATACATCAAAGAAATAAGCCTGAAACTATTTAATAATTATTAAAATTTTCTCCATTTTTTTTTTCAAACTACATGTAACAAGCCTGAGTGTAGTCTCCAGTCTTCCATAAGCTGGTGCAAGCACATGGCTTTCATAGTGAACCCTTTCTCGGTGAGTGGGGACATGTCTACAGCATGGACCTGTGACCTCCAGCCCATCAGATTGACTTGCACATGTTTCATGAGTGTCTGTAACTGAGAATAAGCACTGTGGCTCACTTGTCTTAAGCTTTCCTCGGAGCAGCTGAAACATTAGGAAACTGTCTTCACCATTTATCAAGACAGTTACTAGGGAGCTGTAACGCTCGCTTTGAGATAGCATAGTGGCAGTTATAATTCTCCAAATCATACATTATTTTAATAGCTAAACTGACTCAACCATGGGAAAGCTTAACTAGACTCCTAAGAGAGCGACCTCTTGCATTTCCTGGCAAAACCTTATGTGTTGTAGCTGGTTTATAGCACCCAGATTCCTCTGTTTGGGTCATTCCCATGCGTAAGTTTACTTGTGGTACACACTACACACAAGCATACAAACATGAAGAGATGTGGATGGGCGGTGAAGAGGACTGGCCCCTGTCCCGCAGAGCCCTGTTCACCTCCCACACACACTTTTGCTCACCTGGTTTCCACCCATCTTGGGTTACAGAAGCTCTTCAAACTTCCCTTCTGCTGTAGAGAGCCTGGAGGTGATGGGGTAATTAACAGTGATCCTGCTGTTGTGAAGACTGTTGGGGTGCCCCAGGTCTAAAGCCACAGGTTTGCAATCACCTTTTTTGTAAAACATGGTCTTTTGGAGTACTGAACTCACAGGGGCTTGCCTTAATTCCGTAGTTTCAAGATGTATGCGCTAATATTCTATGTGTTAAGATGGTAAAATATTCTATGTAGCCCCAAGAGTGGGTAAAACAGAGTTTAATGCCTAAATAAATAAGCTAAAAGGTGTCACTACAGCTGGATTTTTTTAGAGAAAAAATGGACATATTAAAAAAGATAGGCTATGCGTCATGAACAAAAATCGAGGGCACCTTGGGATTGCACTATTTCATGCACTATTTTATATGCCATTTCATAGCCTGCACTTTAACCTCCAAAGAAATGCTGTGTGGTACCTGTTCCTTGTTAGTGAGCTCATTCCCAAAATGGCACGCACTTCTTTTTCTCTATGCTGAGTTAGTCCCCTGGAGCTGGCTTTCGTATTTGAGTTCTCTGCTTCCTTAGCCATATTTTCTAGGATCCGAGAACTCCCGTCTCGTCTATTTCCAATCTATTTCCAACAGCATGGAATTCATCTGATGTAAATCTCATCCTTAGTGATCCACACACAGTCATAGACCCTCTTCTAGTGATGAGTACCTGTTTGTTACATGTACCAAACCCTCAGAAAGTAGACACTGTAAGAGTTGAAAGCGGGAATAAAGGCCTGAAAGGGAACACACAAAATAACATCGCTGTTTGAAAATGGTTGGGTCTCTACAGGAAGCTGAATTTACTGCTTAATGCTTTGGATTGGGATCTGCATGAGTTCCTTTAGGGCAGACAAGGTTCAGTTCAAACTACTTAAATGTAGAGCCTACCATCTGCAGAAAATAAGAATTTTCAGCAAACACTGAGTCTACAAAAACCGCTGCTGGTGGGGTGTGGCCACCAATTGCTCTCCCTTTGAGCAGCAGTAAATCACACAGGTAAGAACTAGGGCAGGCTTGAGTGATGCTGGCCTTTCCAGTTTCCTAAGAATCGTGGTTAAGTTTCTGATGCTCTAGCATTGAGTTCACCTCTTCCCCATTGTCTGAAGGTAGCCACACGCTTTAGAAGCCTAGGAATCCGATCAGGCTAGTGCCAAAGTCCAGTGGTTCGTACTGCCAAAAGGTTAGACGTGTTTAAAATTCCTCTTTGTGGTACCGTATGTTTGTTTACCTTATGCTCATGAGCAACAATAAACCACTAGTTGACCTTCTGGAATTTTTGTTGTTATGACCTACTCAATTATTGGAGGCACCTCCCAGTCACACAAAGGGCACGGAAATAAATGCATTGTCACCAGGTCTACCTGTTTCTTTATTTCATGCACCAGAGTTGGGAGCCACCACAGACGACACACCGCCTCGGTAGCTGCTGTCCTGAGCCACTGCACTGTTTACACACTACTGTCCCCAGAGCCACCACACATAGCAGGGTTGACAACATGTCCCACAGAGTTAGACAAGGAAGAGGTTTCGGTGGGATTTGATCCTGACCCTCCAGCCTGAAGCTTTGTACTTCCTGCTGTGCTATACTCCATTTCTAAAAGGGCAAGGAGCATTGATTAAGATGCCACGTGCAGCGATCCTTGTAGATCCTCAAGGCAAGCCATTCGAAAAGGCCGGAGCTCTGGGGAGGAAGCTTCAGCAGAAACGCTTGCTGAGTAGCATCCGTTTCCAAGGCTCTTGGTCCAGTCCCCCACACTGGGGAAAGGGCTGAGCTTGTAGTGGAGGGTTCTGACGGTCGTTTCCCCGAGGTGTGCAGGTAAAAGACTTGCTGACTTGTAGGTCCAAGGCCACTAACAGGTTTATGGTCACTGTGGTATATGTTGCTTTGACCATCAGTTCTTAGACTCTACCGGAGGGGAACAACAGTTCTCTTCAAAATTCTTTCCTGCTCCCAACACAAATAGAGTTTTGGGGCAACTGAAATCATCCAGATCATTTTCTGTTAGTAGAAATTGTACAGAGGTTTCATGTTGATGTTTCCATACACATAATACACCGGTATATTCACTCCTATATTAATCTCACCCTCCACTATCATCACTCACCTTCCCCTTGCTTATCATTCCCCCTTTTAGTTCCCTGTCCTTTGTCTCCCTGATTCCCACATAGAAAACAGGGCTGTGGAGTTGGCTTATTTCACTTAACGTGATTTCCAGTTCGTGCATTGTCCTGCAAAGAACATGATTGCGTCCTTTATTGTTGAGTAAAGCTCCTTCATTTGTATGTATATTTTCTCTATTCATCCATTGAAGTATACAAGGTTCACCCATTTATTGGCTGTTGTGGAAGTGAGATAAACGTGGTGTCTCTGTAGTGACCTGACTTAATTATTTTTATTTATGTGTGTGGGTATTTTGCCTACATAGATCTGTGTATCATGCAGTGCCTATGGAGGCCACAAGAGGGCATCAGTTCCTCTGAAATGAGGTACAGGAAGTTGTGCACCTCCTTATGAGTGTTGGGAATCAAACCCAGGTCTTCTGCCCTTAATCACTGAGCCTTCTCTCTAGGCCCTCCCTGCTGGTTTTCACAGGGCTTGACGAATTACATCCCCCACCAACAGTGTGTTAAGGCTCCTTTCTCCCCACATTATTGCCAGCGTGTTTTTTTTTTTTTTTCTTGATACCATTCTGATGGGTGAGATAGAATCACAATGAAGTTCTGTTTTGTTTTGGCCACCTTTATTTTGAGGGTCTCTGTGGCCCACATTACCTTGAAATGCACTAGGTAGCTCAGGCTAATCCTGAACTCAACACCATCCTTCTGAGTTAGCTTTCTGGAAATATGGCATGAGTTTGAAGCCAGCCTGGAATACACAGCAAGATCTTCTCAAAGTGCCAAAATAGGCATGTACAGAGCCCATTGCTAGCATGTGGAGGGGTTGGCTTCTGGTTCCATCCCTAATACAAAAAACAACCCTGCCCTACGCTAGTTCCCCCATGTTAATTTCTGAAACCATTTCTACAGGGTCTATCTTAGATGATCATCTCACCGCAAAGTGCATCGCAGAGCAAAATTAGAGTAAAGTTTAAGGAAGCAAAACCGAAGTTGTGTACATCAGAGGTAGAAGTCCAAATTACATTAGGAGGGAAATACAAATCAAGGATGAGCTTCAAGCCAGGCCTGGTTAAACAGTTCTTTGATCCCAGCTCCTCAGCTGACTGATACAAAGAGGATTGGTCATAAGGTCAAAGTCTCTCTCAGCTACAGACTGAGTCCCAGACTGCCCTGAGCCAGTTAAGTGACACTGTCTCTCCTTAAGTGCTGGAGACACAGCTCAGTGATAGCACACGCAAGCCCAAGGCCCTCGTTCAAGCCCCAGAACTCCAAAACAGTACACTTCTAGAAACTTCATATAAACAAAGCGAATAGATTTCTGGTGTTTGTTGTTTCTGAGACAAGTTCTCATGTATTCCATCCTGGCTTCAAACTCAACATTTAGCCAAGGTGTGGTGATAGACAGCTGGAGTCAGGTCTCCAGCTTCAATTGGTCCTGGGGATTTAACTCAGGTCATCAGGTATAAACAGCAAGTGCCTTGACCGGCTGAGATTGATGGAGCCAGTGCATAATGGGGTATACTGTGTTCACGGAGGGCAGAGGACAAGTTTAGGGAGTAGTCATCTCTCTGCCTTTACATGGGTTCCAGGGATTTAACTTCGGCTTTCAACTTTGTACATCAAGCGCCTTTACACGCTGAGCCATCTCATTGACCCGTCTTCTGTTTTTAATTTCCTGTTGAAGTCTGTGAAGCAGCAATGTAAATGGTAAATTGGCCCTGGGAATGGGAACCTAGGCACCCCCTATGTTTAAGAGAAAATCAACACCCCTGCTTTCTTCACACCAAGAAAGGGCAAAGTGGGTTAGCTCATCCTCTACTGGATTGGAGCAAGCTCAGAAGCCCTTGCTCTTCTATTTTTGATGGAAAATGGATTCTCTTCTCATACAATACATCCCAACGACAATTTCCCCTCCCTCTACTTCTCACAGTTTCCCCCACTTCCCCTTTTCCTCAGATCCAGTCCCCCTCCATCTCCTTTCAGAAAAGAGAAGGTCTCCAAGAGATAATGACCAGACGTGACAAAACAAGGTACACTAAGGCAAAGCAAAAGCCCTCATACCGAAGCTAGACAAGGCAACCCAATAGGAGGAAAAGAGTCTCAAGCACAGATAAGAGACAGAGATACAACCACTGCCACTGTTAGGAGTCTCATAAAAACATCAAACAAGCAGCCCTAACATATCTGCGGAGGACCTGGTGTAGACCCTTTCAGGTCCCATACTTGCCATGTCAGTCTCTGTGAGCACCCTTCTCCGTTGACACAAAGGACCATGTTCTCCTGTTGGCCTCCATCTCTTCTGTGAGGTTCCGTGAGCTCCCGAGAGGAGGGACCTCATGGATATTTCAACTTAGACTCTGAGTAATGTCTGGCTGTGGATCTCGGCCCCTGCTCCCATCTACTGCTGGAGGAAGCCTCTCTGGTGATGACTGGTCAAGGCACCGATCTATGAGCACAGCAGACTGTCATTAGGAGTCATTTGGTTTGGTTCTATCCTAGGTCTCTGGACTACAGACTACCTAGTCTCCAGGTCCTGGTAGTGTGGGCCTGGGCCCCTCTCGTGGAGTGTGCCTCAAGTCAGGCTGGACATTAATTGGCCACTCCTACAAGTTCTGTGCCATCACTGCCCTGGCACATCTTGCAGGAAGGGCAGATTGTAGGTGGAAGGTTGTGGCTGGGTTGATACGCAGGTTTCTCTTTCCAGAGCCAACAGAGTACCTTCCTGTACCAAAGAGACCAATATGTAGGGGTGAAGGCTGTATGTGGGTAGTGAGCTGTGTGGATGTTGTCTTCAGCAGTAGTGGCCCCCGCTATGAGTTTGCAGAGAGCAACCCTCTCCTAACATCAGCCTGGAATATTTAAGGATCTCCATAGGAACGCCTCAACCAACAACTCAACAAATGTAACCCCACCCACACACACCAAACAGAATTAAAAATTAAAATATTTAAGCTGGGCATGGTGGCACACGCATTTAATCTCCACACTCAGGAAGCAGAAGCAGGCATCTATCTGTAGCCGTGTAGCTGTATTTCGAAGTGGCCAAGTTGGATTCCAAGAATCGTATAAAATTATAGTTACATCTACCTCGGTATTCACTAGGCCTTCAATCTCAACTCCATCTAATTGTGACTTCAACTTTGGCCTCTAATCATTTATAGCAGTCTGCCAAAATATTTGCTTCCTGGTATCTTTCAGATCTCTTGTGGTAAGCTTAGAGCAGTGCTGTCTACCATAGCAGGCACTAATTTTTCTAGTTGCTCTCTATAACAGTCTCTCCTTGGACAGGGAATGTATGGCTCATACTGTTTTTTTTTTTTTTTTTTTTTGGTGGGGCCCAAGCAAAGTCTCTAAGCAATTTCTTACAATTAAGAAATTTCTTACAATTAAGAAATTACCTTGTATATCATAAACTCTGTGTCCACCCTTTCTAAATCTATATATCCCAGGAAGGTTTCTCCCTGGATTATCATTAGAGAAAATATTATGCTTAGGAGCTGCTTGTCTACAGTCCTTTAGGAAGCGGCCTGGTCTTCCATAGCTAGCATCAGACATTTGGAGCTCTCATATTTGTAGCAATTGCCTGTCCAATCATAATGGGAATGTAAGCATTAGATCCAATATCTGCAGTAGTTTTATCCATTCATAAATAAGTGTGGATCTTTAAAGATCTAGTAACCTGGAGGCTGGAGAGACGGCTCAGAGGTTAAGAGCACTGGCTATTCTTCCAAAGGTCCTGAGTTCAATTCCTGGCAGACACATGGTGGCTCACAACCATCTATAGTGAGACCTGGTGCCCTCATGCAGGCATACATGCAGGCAGAATATGTATAAATAATAAAAAAATAAATCTTAAAAAAAAAGATCTAGTAACATTTTTGCATTCAGCATTAGCATTCTTGAAAGCTAAAGATTCAATTAAAACTCTTGTCTTTGGATCTGATATTGCTCTATTTAGAGCTGAAGCTAATCTTTGTTAAAAAAAAAAAATCAATAAGGGCTGGAGAGATGGCTCAGAGGTTAAGAACATTGGGTGTTCTTCCAAAGGTCCTGAGTTCAACTCCCAACCACACGGTGGCTCACCACCATCTATAGTGAAATCTAGTGCCCTCTTCTGGTGCACAGGCAGATGCTGTATAAATAATATTTTTAAAAATCAATAAAAGATTCATCTAAGCCCTTGGTTATCTTGGCAAATGATTTAGAGTTCTTCCCTCTTGTTCACCTTGTCCCAGGCA